AATAGTGCATGGCATGATAGAGTCAACAGCCGGTGTGCGAGAGGGGGGCATAACGACGAGGTGGCGATGAGAGCCAAGTGAAAGTCCACACGCATGTGTTGTTATTATTATTTTTGGCGTTGTCGCTGTGGGTGTTGTTGTTGTTTTTGTTGTTGTCGACGCCGCTGTTGTCGACGTCAACGTCGTTTTCATCGTTGGCGTTGTCGTTGTCCCCGTTTTCATCACTGTCGTCGTTGTCGTTGTCGTCGTTGTCGTCATGGTCATTGTTGTTTTAGTTGCTTTTACTGATTCTGCTGCTGCTGCTGCTGTTGCAACTGTTGTTGTTGTTGTTATTATTATTATTATTGTTTGAAAGTAATGTTTTGCGACATTGCCTCGCTGTCGTACAAGGGGAGTCGCAGCTAATACTTTCGTTGTAATTTTTTTTTTCTTGTGCACGCTTGTAGTTGTTTGTTAGTAAATAATCATTTATACGGCTATAATTGTAAGCGTTCCTTTGTAAATAATCATTTGTATTATTAAATGGTGCTAAGAAACGCAATTTGGACGTTGGTCTCTTGTGACCAGTCTGTTATCTTCGTATAACGCGTTTAGTGTGTCGTTGTCTTAAACATCATAAATAGTTATGCTACTGCTATATTTCTAAATGTCATAACTTTTTCACGACAGCTCACTTTAAAGGTTACGTCATTTTAGACTTCTCGCAGATGCTTATGATGTTTCTGACAAGGAGCCCCAGAATTTTATGTGGAGTTTTAGCTACGCATATAATGCCTTTATGAGCTCATCAAAATTTTTATTGGAGCGCCAGAATACTTGCAAATCACCGGACAAATCGCATCATGTGTTGATTTTACTCTGAGAGAGAAAAAGTATTTCTCTAAATCATTGCCATGGCCGACAGAGCAATGGATGTAGGTGTTGTTGTTAATTGGTGGTGATTGGTATAGTAATTGTTATAATGTCGTCCGCTTACTCATGCGCGCAAAGTCATTGTCATGTTTATGTCGTCGATGACGTCACACAACTGTGTGATGAAGGTGGATGCGAATTTTAGCCATGTTTCTTAAATGATACTATAATACACTGTGATGTACATATATACACTATAACATAAAGATACACTATAAATACATGATACACCATGTATTTTAATCAATACGTGCATGTCAGTGTGGCCGCGTCCGTATACGAGTGGCTGTATTTGAGCTTGTGTTAGTGTGCGTGCGTGCGAGAGTGTGCGTGTATGTGCGTGTGAACGTGCGTGCGAGCATGCCAGCGTGTGTGCACGAAGGCTGTATTTGTGCTCATGTTATAGTGCACACGTTCGTGCGTGTGTGTGCGTGTGCGTGCGGCGGGCGTGTATGTATCAATTATAGGATTAATTGCTGCTATAGTTAATCCAATTCGCCTCTATTCGCTGCCGGTGCATTCTCATCATTCCCACCAATACAGACAAGCTGTGAGTTCAGCCATCGACAGTTCACTACACATAGTGCCTTCGATTCTGCGTATTCAATTATATACACAACTAGCGACGGACTGCACGAATAACACGCGCCAATAAAAATCTCTACCGCGTCACGTCACTCCGTATCTAACGGCCGGAAGGTGCATAACCTCACCACGTGTGCTACGCGTCCGCCAGCACCACCCACTACTCCATACCCTATCGCACGTACGTCGCCATGCCGTGCAGAGGCGCAGGCAAATGTCCGCAGGCAGAAGTGAAATGCAGTGCGCTCCGTCGCCAGCGGCCATGCGCGCTCACTTACGCAATGCCTGATTGCCGTCATTTTCAGCCTGGCGATCGTTGGCGAAAGCGCGCCGCAATAGCGGTCACGCATAAGTCTACGACATTCCACCTCGTCGCTCTCTCGGCTGTTGTCTAGTATGTAGGTTGTGTGAGAGAAACGCGTCGACCTAGTTATGTGAACGCGCCGCACTTGCATGCGAACGGAATTCCTGATGCGAACATTGGAACGTGACGGAGGAGACGTGTGTAGACGCATTTGCGTGCGCGCTCTCTCTCTCTCTCTTTCTCTCTCTATGTGTGTGGGGGTGAGGGTTTGTGCGTGCGTGCGTCTACGTGTGTATGTATGTGTGTGTGTGTGTGTGTGTGTGTGTGTGTGTGTGTGTGTGTGTGTGTGTGTGTGTGTGTGTGTGTGTGCGTGTGTGTGTGTTGAGGCTATACGCACAATACAAAAATTCTGTCAGTCGTGTATCTATAAATCGCTCAGAAACTCTGGCACTTCGTTGCCGGATATGAGGGAGCCCGGCCGGTGGGTCTCGCACACTTTTGTCACGAGTTCCCGCAAGAGGGCGTCACAGTTTGTCCGCGGTGCCAACGAGTGAGACAAAAAATTTCCGGATCCGATTCTGATCCATCCGTCAGATTCTGGCTGTTGCCAGATAGTCGCCGCTCTTCTCCTCCATGTTCTCGTAGCTTTCCCTATAGAGTCGTGGTCGACGATGCGCTGACTACATGGGTGATCAAACAACGCCCCGTGCTCGCCGAGCCATCGCGGCTCGGGCGTTAAGGAGAAGTTGCGACCATTCCCGAGTAGTGGCACGTCGGTCGCCGCTGCCGCCGTCGGTGCGTAGGGCAGAAATATATGTATAATAGCTATGTCTATGGTGCGTAGTATAGGGGGGCATACAACAGTAACTATTTGGTCAGTAGAAAATGCCTTTTTGGATTTTTGGGGTAGAATTTCGTGACAAGCGTGCAATAATTTAGCACGTTAGATGCCTCGTGGACGTTTAGAAAGTATTAGAAGTAAAATTTGCATTGTCGTGTAGTTGTGACATTCCGTCAAGTGGCGTAGCCATGGTGACCGGTTGGCCATTTTTGTGTTTGAAATGTGATCCGAGTACTTTGTAGAAATTCGCATCATAGAGCTGGCAAAAGTTTCGAGCGGAGCATAGAGCATGAATCTGTAGTTATTTAACATAAATAAAGTGTATGTTTTGTAAGTGCAGTAACTGTGTGAGTATTTTTAATTAATTTCTGTTCGATGCTTATTCAGGCCTGCAGCCTATGGACACCCTCTACTATTGTTCAACGTCTTTTAACGCCGCCTGATAAGGAATGCTGCTCTGCCAAAAAAATCAAATAATTGAGGTTTAAGTTAATGAAAATCAGTTATGCAAGTACTCTAGCATGATTTTTAGACACATGCATGTTCGAATAACATTTAAACATGTATTTTATGTAAATATGTACATATCCGTGTACATAATGTACATGTTATTTACATATCTACATTAAAATACACTCATTTCACACTCATTTGGTACCAGAAAATAGATAATTATTCTCGTTTTACTCTTTTGTGGCACTCCTAACACTAACAGTATCAAAATATCTTAAATTTGTTGGTTGCAATTGACCCTAACCCTGGTTCTAACACTGCGCTTAACCGCATAAAGCGAACGTTAATTTCCATTGATTTCTGTGTTTTGGGGGATCAATTCAGAGAGTGATCTCTCAGCTCCTGGAGGCATACCACATTTGAAATTCGGTAGCCGGATAGGGGAACGGCTCTAAATCATTCATCTAAAATTTCAAGTCGATCCGTATCTCCGCTGCTCATTAAGGAGGTGTACAACAGTAAGCCTCCGCAAATTGTTCACTGTTGCACTATTGGGTTCGTCTCTAGAAAAGGCTTTTTTGCTTTTTTTCCCGAATTCGGCAGCCTAGAGTGCCAATCATTTGCCTTATGCACAAGTTAGATTTTTGGGCCTTCGTCGGACGTCTAGATAGCATTAGAAGTAAAATTGGTATTGTTGTGTACTCGTGACATTCCGTCAGGTGGCGTAGCTACAGCGACCGGCTGGTGATTTATGTGTATGAAATGTGTTCAGACAACTTTGCAGAAATTCGCATCATAGAGCTGGCAAAAGTTTCGAGCGGAGCATCGAGCATAAATCGGTAGTTATTTAACATGAATTAAGTGTATGTTTTGTAAGTGCAGTAACAGTGTGAGTATTTTTAATTAATATCTGTTTGATGCTTATTCAGGCCTGCTGCTTATGGACGCCATCTACTGTTGTTCACCACCTTTAACCGCCTGGTAAGGAGAGCTTTTCTGCCAAAGAAATCGAATCATTGAGTTTTATGTTATTTAAAATCAGCTATGCAAGTCCTCTAGCATGGTTTTTAATCACATGCATGTGCAAATGACATTTAAACATGTATTTTATGTAAACATGTACATATCCGTGTACATATGTACATCTATTTACACATCTAAATTAAAATACACTAATTTTACACATATTTGGTGCCAGAAAATAGATAATTATCCTCGTTTCACTCTATTGTGGCACTCCTAACACTAACAGTATCAAAATATCTTAACTTTATTGCTTGCAATTCACCCTAACCCTCGTTCTAACACTACGCATAACCGCATGGAGCGAACATTAATTTCCATGGATTTTTGTGTTTTTGGGGGCTCTTTTCAGAGAGTACGTCATATCTCAGCTCCTAGAGTCCTGCCACATTTGAAATTCGGTGGTCATATAACGAAAAGGCTCTGAATTATTCCTCTAAAATTTCAAGTCGATACGTCTCTCCTCTGCTCATTAAGGTGGCGTACAACAGTAAGCCTCCGCGATTGTTCACCGTTGCACTATTTCGTCTCTAGAAAATGCCTTTTTTGGCATTTTTTTTCGCCGAAATTCAGCACTAGAGTGCAATAATTTGCATTATGCACGCAAGTTAGATGCCTCGTGGACGTCTAGAAAGCATTCGAAGTAAATTTTGGTCTTGTTGTGTATTTGTGACATTCCGTCAGGTGGCGTAGTCACAGCGACCGGTTGGTCATATTTGTGTTTGAAATGTAGTCAGACAACTTTGTAGAAATTCGCATCATAGAGCTGGCAAAAGTTTCGAGCGGAGCATAGAGCATGAATCTATAGTTATTTAACATGAATAAAGTGTGTGGTGTGTAAGCGAAGTAACAGTGTGAGTATTTTTAATTAATATCTGTTCGATGCTTATTCAGGCCTGCTGCCAATGGACGCCATCTACTGTTGTTCACCACCTATAGGTTCGTAGTATCGTGGCTGTTTATAGGCGGCGCTGTTGTCGCGCTTTCGCTTATGGATGCCGTCGTTCACATAGTTTGACAATGGCTCATAAATATCTGGAAAGACTACAGAGACGTCTGCATGTGCTTGCGTGAGTGCGTGTGGACGGGCTTGTTGCTGTGCTTGCAGGCGTACGTACGTACATGCGGGTATGTGCGTGCGCATGTGTACGTGCGTGCGTCCGGGCAGACGGATACGTCACACAAGTCACACGTCGTGGCGGGCGATGTCGCTACATTCGTTATTCATCACAAAATATAATTCCTCTGGTGAGATATGGTGCATGCGCTAACACACTAACGTAGCCAGATTGTGTACTGGCTGGTATACGCAGCCGGGACCTTACATGCAAGGTCTTCCGCCTATTTCTTAAATTATGTCTACTAATAGAATTTTATCATATAAATCTATGCTAGGATAACTCTTCTTCATTTTAAATGCATAATCTTTGCAAAATACGATTTCTCTCGGAATATATTATGCACGCGCCCGCACCGTGTTAGGCGTGCAGTGCCGTCTGAGACAAACTTACGGCAGGGAAGATAACTGGGGCGGTAGAAGAAGGAGGCTGAGCGAGGGACAGGGGAGGCAAGGGGAAAGACGCGAGAGCATACAGTAGGTGTTTTGTACCCTACATGCTAGGGCGCTCTCCTAATTATAAACACAGGTCTACTGTTAAAAGTTTATTAGGGAAATCTATGCTGAGATATCCCCTAACCATTTTAAATGCATATTCATCACAAAATATAACTACTCTGGTGAGATATTGCGCATGCGCTAACACACTGACGTAGCCAGATTGCGTACTGGCTTGTATACGCAGCGGGGACCTTACATGCAAGGTCTTCCTCTTATTTCTTAAATGATGTCAACTGATGGAATGGTATCATATTATTCTATGCTAGGAAAACTCCTCTTCATTTTAAATGCATAATCTTTGCAAAATACGATTTCTTACGTGAGATATTGCGCATGTGCGCTCCGTGTTAGGCGTACAGTGCCGTCTGAGACAAACTTCCTGATATAGCTTGCTGAGGGGAAGAGGGGATGGGAGACTGAGGAAAGGCGGCAGGGAAGATAGCTGGGAGCGGTAGAAGAAGGAGGCTGAGCGAGGGACAGGGAAGGCAATGGGAAGGACGCGAGGGCATAAAGTAGGTTTTGTACCCTACATGCTAGGGCGCTTTCCTAATTATAAACAGAAGTCTACTGATAAAAGTTTATTAGGGAAATCTATGCTGAGATACCCCCTAACCATTTTACTTGCATATTCATCACAAAATATAACTCCTCTGGTGAGATATTGCGCATGCGTTAACACACTAACGTAGCCAGATTGTGTACTGGCTTGTATACGCAGCGGTAACCTTACATGCAAGGTCTTCCTCCTATTTCTTAAATGATTTCTACTGATGGAATGTTATCATATAAATCTATGCCAGGATAACTCCTCTTCATTTTAAGTGCATAATCTAGCAAAATACGATTGCTCTCGGGAGATTGCTCTCATAGTCACGCACCGCGTGTCAGGAATTCTATAATGCCCGCGAATGATTACACGAGGTTGAGAGACGAAAGTGTCGGATGTTGGCAATGTATGCGATGTGATACTAATGTGTAGTGTGCGTAGCTACCATATTGTGCATATCAGTTTATCTTTCTAACCCGCACACACACTAATTTACGCACGCGCGCTCTCTCCCTCCTTTTCTCTCTCTCTCTCTCTCACTCTCTCTCTCTCTCTATCGTGTTTGTCCCTCTTCCCCCTCTATTTATTTCTCTCTAAACCCCTCCTTTGCCTATCTCCGCGTTCTGTCTTAATCTCTCATTTTCCCTCTCCCTCTCTATCTCTCTTCCGTGTCTGATTGCATATATTCGTTTACGAGTATTTTGTATATTCTGTACATTCGTTGTTGTTATTTACTTGTTTATTGCTCCTGTGGATTTTAGGCATGAAGAGTAAACGACAAAGAATTAAGCAATAAAATGGCTACAACATCCAGAATGTGCCACTATGCGAAATATAGATATCTATTGCACCTGAAAATTATCATCAATTTAAACAGTTCGTTACCACCACAATACATCATGCTATAATTTCCCATATGTATTACAATCTTTAATATTCTTGTCCCCTATAGTTTATCGTGTGTGATCAGACTGCACGAAAAGTCTACACACGTCCTCTGCAATTATTTGGCATAACTGATTACTTCCAGAAACGTATAACCCCCAAATAAATAGACGAAGCTAGGTTTTCTCCATGTTCATTGATCTTGGGTAGATATATGCATATATAGGCCTTCCCACATGTGCAGTGCGTACACTTGCAATCAGGTCCGCACTTACAGTCCCTGTTGTCTCACGCCTGCGCTCACTTGCTTCCACACCTGGAAGGGATAAAGGGATTAACCTTTTAAGTTTAGTCGGCACCTCAGGTAAACAGTAACCGAGATTACCTACATTTCCGACCTTTCCCTACATGTCAGTTATGGGATGGCGATATGCGATGTGTATGCGCGTATACACGAAAGTTATAAGTCAGGTGTGCAGACGGCCGTAATAACACCGGTTCTGTTTACTCACCCACATTTGGAGCAAGCGCAATTCTCATTGCAGACCTTGCACGCACAATCCTTGCAAGAGCAGCACGGCTTGCATTTGCAACTACCCTCCGTACAAGCACAGTTGGCCCCACAGTTACATGTCCCAGCCTTCCCGCATCCCTTGCACGGACAGGCCGCTGCAATAAAGCATGAAGAAGGTAAAACTAGCAATGCAAGTTATCATATGTCATATCCGTCTGCACCTTCCTTTAGATCCTTGGAAACTGTGACGATGAGAGTGGGTGTGAGAGCGTGAGCGGGCGAGAGAAGTGATGCGTGTGAAAACACAGGCACTTGGAACGTTTCAATGAAAAATATGGTAAATAAACATGGAATGTATTTACCACCAAAGTCTTAATGTTTCTTTACTCCCTTTCGCCTATTATTGCTGATAATTTCCTGTAAATGCCGTTCAAATGCTCCTCTGCAACATATGAGTACACCGCACGCACGTTACTGTACACAAACAAAAAGAATAAAAAGAACACGAATATAGAATAAATCTTTATTCTTGTTGTTTGTGCACAAGCGGCGTACGTGCGGTGTACTCATGTGTTGCAGAGGAGCATATGAACGGCATTTACATGCAGGACGTTATCGGCAATAATAGGCAAAAGAGAGTACAGAGAAAGAGAGAGAAAGAGAAAGAAAGATAGAGGGGGAGAAAGGGGGGAAGTGTTAAAACTTCAAGGCAGCCATAAATACAAATTGAACACTACGTATACAGGCAAACGCAGTTTACCTGCATGGCAAAATTGTAATGAGTTTGGCAGTAGTATGTTTCACAGCGCCCTCGCCTAGCTTATACATTCAAATATGAGAATGTATTCTCAGTGTGGTCTCAGCTAGGCGACTTGTGCTGAGCTAAGAACCATAGCATGGGGAATTCACCCAAATGCAAAGAAAAGCTAATTTCACACGCACAGAGACCAACATACAGGTTTCTTTACCGGAATTATTACGCCGGAAAAGTACATATATTTACAGCAAGCCCATTTTTGCCAAAACCTGCTCCCATATGCACAGGTATTACTTTCCGCTAGTAAATGCCCGAGATAGGACGTGAGTCATCGGGGGCATGTATATACCTACCTTCCCTATTATCTACTTCTGATACCTACCCAGCAGCATGCCAGGTAGTTTCAAGCGTTCGCAGCTTCTAGTACATTCATACTATCAGGAGTAGATAATAGGGAATTATTTGGAATTATTTCCAAATGGAATTTATTTGGAATTATAGGGAATTCGATAATAGGGAATTCTCTATTATCTACTCCCGATACTATCTATGAGCCTCGGTCCCACAGCGACTGGAGTGAACGCACGTACGTGCTTCACCATGGTGAACAGATAGGCTGTGTCGCTGGAGATTGCAAGGAAACCTCCACACCCGCTATCCTATACCACATAGAAATAAAATAAACATATACCCTCCATCCATAGTTCATAGGTACATGGGTATAATATTGTAACTGGTTTCTTACACCAGATTGTATATAGTATTATGTAATGTAATTTAGGATTTAGAATAGTAAAAACCAAGAACACCACAAAGTTGTGTTCAGTCAAATAAATATGCTTATTACTTCGAAACATGCACGCAATTAAACAGTCTGCCACCTATCACGACTACAACCGGTCCCCCACCCCCACGTCACCATCAAACAAAGTACTTATACCCCTTATTATATGCTACTCAAGTCCACTCATGTCACCCGTGACCGTCTCTCCATTCTTAGAAACCGTGTGAATACTACCTTACTTAATGTTAAACGACTCGTGACGTGCAGAATAAATCTCCACTACAGGCATCAATACGCCGATCATCTACCAATTTATTATTAAGCCCTGCGCACACGTGAGTAATTTTACTCAAGTAAAATGACGCATGAGTCAAAATACTCACGCGTAATATTTTCAGCGTTCGCCGCCCACGTGAGTAAAATTACTCAAGGAATAAGTGGTAGCAGCCGGCTGAAAAGTGCGATAGGATATGTTTACTAGGCACTTCTAATTTTAACATATATTTTACGATATAGTAAAGAATGATGCAAAAACCCTAACCCTAACCCTAACCCTAACCCTAACCCTAACCCTAACCCTAACCCTAACCCTGACCCTAATTAAATTTAAAATATATGTTAAAATTAGAAGTGCCTAGTGACTGTGCGCATCCAATACTGGGCGCACAATGATTTAAACGCATGCGCTGTGAGTACCAGTGTTGAGTAAATTTACTCAGCGCGCGCGCACACGTTGAGTAAAATGACGCATGAGTCAAAAATTATCAAACACGTTTGATATCGAGTAAAATGACGCATGCGTCAAATTACTCAGCGAAAATATGCCGCACACGTGAGTAAAATGACTCATGCGTCATTTTACTTGAGTAAAATTACTCACGTGTGCGCCGGGCTTAAACAAAGCAACGGCTGAAAAAGCTCTGCAGTGTGCTAGTATTACATTGAAACTATTTTCCTAGTATTCTGGCTTATAATAACTACATATGTTAAACATATGGTACAATATAATATTCACGGAAATGTAAAATTGCTCTCTATTTATGTCTCTGACACACACATACACACACGCACACGCACACGCACACGCACACGCACACGCACACGCACACGCACACGCTTACATATAGACGCGACGTTACGACATCAAACAGTCTAAAATGTTCCATCAGAGTAGCCCCAATCCAACGACGCACGCCTCTGGCACACATACATGCACGCACATCCACGCACGTACAGACAAGCACTCTCTTACACACGCACGCAGGAACGCACACTTATACTCATATGTACGCACACGTGTACACTAATAAATTGTGATCTATATCTTTATAATTTGATGCTATTCTGGAATACCGCCAGAGCCAGCGAAAAAAATACACGGGAGCGACGAACGATTTCGCTCCCGTCAGCTTTCAAAGCGCTCTGGTAACAACAATTACGAGAGAAAATTTGAGAAGATACGAGAAAAAATCGCTCCCGTGCCGCCGGCAGCATTCGAAATTAGTTCCGATCCGGAGGCCCGAGCCCACCAAGTTTTTGCTCGGGCCACCATCTCTACGAAACTCCCGGTCCTCCCGACCGGCACTTTTTCCCCTCATATTACGCTGAAATACTACGGTTAGCACAACGGCAGTTTAAACAGACTTGTAAACAGGAGCGCATAATACGACCCGTTCCTCAACGTAGACGGGGTATCCAAAACATCTAGAGCTTGTATCTTGTATCTTTCTTGTATCTTGGTACCCTCTCTTGTATTTCACAAGGCACTCGATTCTACGAGGTGCGGGGATTATCTAGAGAAAAGGAGATTAATGCCGCCTCTAGTTCTCTAGATGTTAGTGTTTCTAGTCACCAGTATTTTCCGTACATAATCTAACTCTGGTTTCAGTAACCTGTCGTTGTCTCCTGTCCAGTTTTCTATTCGTTGTCCCTCCTTATATTTATTTAAGCTATTACATTTATATAAATGTTCCATGTCTTCTTTTATGTTCTTAGTACATCTATTACACATATTGTCACTAAAGTTATTTTTAAAGTAGCCAATTTGAGATCAATCATACAAGTTTTACACTTAAATGCAAACCACGAATCAGTAAATGATAATTCTTTCATATAATCCTTCAAACCGTATGTTTCAATGTTTATCATGTTCATTTTTGTTTTATCTCTAGTTTTCAATTTGTCTCTTTTAATTACTCTTTTTAAGATGGCATCTTTAACTTATTTTTTCCAGGCTCTTTTTGTTTTTAATCCTATGGCTGTAAATGACATTTCCAATTCGTACTCCTCTAGAATTACTAAAATTTCATTTCCCCAATTTCTTCCATCCTCTTTGATTTGCTGTATAAATACTCTCTTCATTAATCTATTGTTATCTAGCTTAACTATGTATTGTAGTAGCATGAGTTTTTTGTATCCTATTTTATCAGCTATTGGTAAAATTCCTTACTCTATCCTTAGTGCTTCCAGTGATGTTTTACTATTAGCTTTTTTATTATTTTGCGCAGGCACTCATTTTGGAAATCCTCTAACATTTTAAATTCTTCCTTAGTTACGTTTGTCTCACGTCATCACGTCTCGTGTCACATCATGTTTCACTATTATTTAGGAAGGAAGGTAAGACTGTGCATTCATATAGTTTCACTCTTGCTTCTATAGTATGCTTTCCATAATTTTGCTCTTCTGTCCCTGATACTATTTCCCTCATCATGAACCTACTTTTTTCAGTTCGGACTCTTATCATGTCCTTAAACTCTCCTTTATCATTAATTAAATCCCCTAGATGAATATTTGGTGCATTTTTTGATTACTTGGTTACCTAATAATATCTCTTTCTCTATCCTTTCTTTGTTTGAGAATTTTATAACCATTGTGTTTGTTTTGTTCATATTAAATTCTAATCTTTTTTGTTCTGCTAATCTGTGGCATGACTGAGCGATTTTTGTGACTGTTTCATGATCTCCAATTCCTAGTATATCGTCCATATATAATAAGGGTCCGATTTCTATGCTGTTGCCATACATGTATCTAGCTTTGTTGAGGTTATTTAGGTGATCCAGAGTCATACAGCATAGGACTGGTCCTAATATTGTTCCTTGTCTAACTATTTCTTTTGTGATAAAATTTTCTGTTTCCCCTACTGATGTTTTTATGTTAATAATTGCCTTTT